GAACTCAGAATTTGTTATATTAATTCAATAATACATCAAAATATGAATTATAAGCATAGGTGTTTGATGATTGAGTAATTAATGTGTTATTCAGAGATACATAAAATTGAGATCAAATTGTATTTAATGGAAAATTAATGAATGAATATCGGCCGTTTTGTGATGCAGGTATATCACTTCCATTGTCGCTCACTCTTTTTCCAGAAATATTCAAAAATATTTTTTGCAAGTCTATAAAGAACTCAGAATTTGATGCAATGTAAAATTCTAAATTATTGTTTGAACTAATAGCAGCAATAGGCCCAAATTCTAATAAATGAGAATTCTCAACACTATTTTGATTATAATCTTTTTAAAAACATCAAGTTCACTCTTAAAAAATTTGACATTTTAATCGAAAATTGATTTGCGTTTAAGTTTTCGTTTTCGATGTCTTAATTTTCTTTTTACTCTTCACCTTTAACAATTTCACTGTATTTTTATTATGAGGGTTTTGTTTCTTACTTTTCTTTTTATATCGGTTTTTCTTTAATTCGTCTACCACGTTTGTCCCCAGCTCATATTAAATAATATTACATTATTGTGGAACGCATTATGTTAAAATGTAACCTATGTAAGAATCTATTAAAATTTATTGCAGTGAATTTATTTATTGTAAATGTTATTATATAAGTTACATTAAGTAGGAATTCAGTTAAAATTAATATTATAAAAATGTTCTAATTATTACTACTAAATAATCAAGCTACACCAGAGATATTTAAATTGCATCAAGATGTAATTCATTTTAAGAACCATATACATAGTTGTAAATTTAAACAATAGTAGAATTGAAAACATTTCCCATAGAAACAAGTATTTTAAAACTAGGTTAAGTTATTGAAAAATATGAACTCCACCAAAAAACTGCTAATAATAAAGCTTTTAAAAACCATTGCTTATTACTCAGCAATATGATTTAGAAAAACAGTTAAGAATTTTCTAGAAAATATTTAGCGTCGTCACATACATTTTTAAAATCATTTATAATAGATTTCATATTTTGAGCCAAAACTCTAATCATATAAAGTTTAAGGCATTTATACTTTAGCCTAAAATCATGACAACTTCCAGAGATTTCACGGGAAAAGTAGTGCTGATCACCGGCTCGAGCAGTGGTATCGGCGCTGTCACTGCTGTAGAGTTCGCTCGACTCGGGGCTCAAGTAGTGGTCACCGGTCGCAGGAAGGATAGGGTGTCCGCTGTGGCCATACAGTGCACTGAGGCGTCGCCTACCGGTGCTAAAGCC